AGAGCAGCTGCTTCTTGGTCTGGCCATCCGAGTAGGACGCAGCCTGCGCGGTGCCGACAGCACCGAAGATGCCCACGGCCATGATGAGGTGCAAGTGTCTCAGGGCACGGCTGTAGGTGAACTGCGACAGCGGCTTCCGGTTCTGGAAGGTCTTGTACAAGTACCAGGCCAAAGCTGCAGCCGCCACGTCCGTGACCTTGTACTTCAAGTAGCGGCCGATCTCGGAGGTCTCCTCTCCGACCACCTGCTGCACCGCTGCGGTCTCGGACCAGTCCGTGTTCTCCGCTGGCACCAGCTGGCCCACCAGCATGTCGCGGTCCCGCTGCACCCGAGCCTTCTCGGAGTGCTCGAAGACCTCGAAGTCCTTCGTGGCGTCCGTGCCTGCCTTGGAGAGCAGGATGTCGTCACCACCCGGGTGGCTGCCGATCAGGGGCTTCAGGTTGTAGACCCGGTTGTGGATGATCATGTAGGGCTCGTCAGCCGTGTTGTGCTTCGCCACCTCTGCACGGGAGAAGAAAGGCAAGTCCTTGCCCGCGGAGATCTCCGCAAGCTTGGGGAAGCGGCTCTCCTCCGAGAGGGTCGGGGCATCCGTCTTGCCTGGCACCTTCACCGCCGTCTTCACTGCCTCGATCTCTTCCTTGGAAGGACCCTCCAAGCGCCGCAGCTCATCATGTAGCTCACGTAGCTGCTGAATCACTGGGTCAACCTTATTGCCAGGAAACTGATGAGGAATGGAGGATGGATCTTGAGTCGTTATCCCCGCCAAGTCCTCTTCTACGAGACCCGACACCCCATTCCTTCGTTCCTTGCGAACCATATGTTTTGTCATGTTTTGTCATTCCGTAAATCTCTATCTACTAACCAGCCGTACCGCCACACCCTCAACCCTTAACGATACAATTTCATCCCGGTTTTACTTCGACTGATGCATGCCAAAGCTCACAGCCAGAAGACACTCAGTTGTTGGACCCTACAATATAACTTCTCCCTTGAAGGCCTGCAGGGTCTGAGGCGCCGGCCCTGAATCTATAGTCCCCCTCAAGTAGATAGAATATAGGGTATGTGGGAATCTTAATATAATTTACCCAAAACCATGTTCTATCTACTTAAGGGGGACTATAACACTTCTAACCGCCAGCAAGCAACAGGCTTCTCCGGACCAACCTTTCCGGCCTTGAACTCTGGCCGCATGTAGTACTCCATCCATTGCTTGCTGGGGAAGCGCCCCGGAATCTTGTCCTCGGATATAGTTAAGACCCTATTAAACCTGATCAATGCCTATTCTATCTTGGGTTCCAGTATCTAAGAAATCTCAGAGGAGCCTAAGAATTCACAAATGGGCTCATCGCCCAGTTTCGTACTACGAGGAGATCGGGGCCCTGAGAAAAACACCATGTTATTCAAGAACAACTCTCCCCCCGAACAATAACCCGCCAACTCCGCAAGGCATGAAGTAAGGGATCTTACAGAAGTTTCTAGATAATCCTTTACTAATTGTCCCTATGAGCCCTTCCCCATTCCCTGCTATGCATCTGGCCCTGAACCCTCAGCCCTAAATCCTGATACCTAAACCCTAAACTCTAAACCCTACAAACTCTAAGACCTAAACCCTAAACTTTAAGCCCTATGAACTCTAAGACCCAAGACCTATGCCCTAAACCCTTAAACCTAAACTCTAAACCCTAAACCCAGTGTCCCACATGGGGGTGGCGTCGCGGCCAGCCCAGGCTAAGAGGGAGTTACGCTGCTCCGGATGATGCTGCAAGAAATCTGTCAGGTCGTAGACCTGGGGTCTAAGGTTTAAGGTTTAGGGTTAGAAGGTTTGGAGTTTAGGGTCTAAGGTTTAGGGTTATAAGGTTTGAAGTTTAGGGTTTAAGGTTTGAAGTTTGGGGTTCAAGGCTTAGGAGGTCGAGCGGGCTTGGGTTCATAGGGTTTAGGATTTGTAGGGTTCAGGGCTTAATAACCTCTATAATTCTCTCGCATGCAATCCCGAGTTTAGAACATTAAACCCTCCACCCTACACCTCACCAAGTCCTATACAAGGAATTATGTAGGGGTTGCTTTCCAGAAGCGTATGCCTCGCCCTTGATGGCAATCCAGCAGTCGTGCGGCTTGTTGTGATGAGCCACCTCTGAAACTGGTTCTCTTACATGGGGTCTATAGGTTATATAAGGATAGATAAGGTTTAGGGTTGATGAGCCGCCTCTGAAACTGGCTGGTTGAGGGAATCTAGGTTCCCCAGTAAACCTTTTTTAAAACGGGTAACCTTGTTCCTTACAATGTTCAGCTTTAATAAGGAGACCTGAAAATATAGAGGGAAAAAGGGTACGACTGGGAATGAGAAGATGAGAAGGAGCATGACAAAACACTATATCATTAAGGATCATATACCCCTAAACCCTGTCTGACCCCGATAGATATATCCGAGATATATCTCTAAGCCGTAAACCCTAAACCCGAAACTGCAAGCCCTAAACCCGAAGCCCTGAACCCTATACCCTAAACCCTAACCCTAAACCCATTTCCTCCGTGCCCACCTCCGAGAGAGGGATGTCGGTACTGGAGAAGCCAAGTGGCACTTCATGCAGGTGCGCGTGCTCCTCAGAGTATCCCTAACGTTCTGCATAAGTCCTCTAGGTTTAGGGATTCGGGTATAGGAATTTGAGGATTAAGGATTAGGGCTTTGGGTTTACAAATTAGGTTTAGGGATTAGGGTTAAGGAGCTAGGATTTAGGGTTTAGGGGTTTGAAATTAGGGTTAAGGGTTTAAGGATATGAAACGTACCCAGTCTGGGGGTCTAAGGTCTAGACATGATACCTGCATGGAAGCTGAGGACGACCTGAAGACGTTCACCACACTACCCGTGACACACATACGTGGCGGTGCCGTATTCATGCTGGGCCTCATGACCAAACTGTGTGGCAACAGAAGGACAAAAGGTTGCTGGCATGCGTGAGCGTATATGATCCTAACCCACGGGCAATTGGAAATTAAATGTCCACTTCCCATAATAACTGTACGCAGGAGATCTCACTACCCGCTCCTAAACAAATACGGAAAGCCACATAAGCCCCTTTTGATGAGACAGCAATGTTTAACGGACCCCTTGCAGTTTTCCATGTTTGTTTGGATGGAGGTATGCAATAATTACGAAACCTCTTGCTCTGAATCTTTGACTGTAACTCTGACATATTACTTGGTGCCCGAAGGCCAGGAAAGAAGACCTCATCTCAAGCCACTTCGGGAACAAGACTTCCCATTGCTATGTCACATGTGGGTTGCCAGGGTCCCAGAACAGACCAGACTTGAAAGCCCGAATCCTAAAGCCCTAGACCAGCCTAGAGATCAAACCCCTACCTGGACCCCACAAGGACCCAAGTATCCACGAATAATATCTACATAGACCTAAAGTAAAGGTGAACGTGTTTTGGGGTCCATTTTGGGCCCCCCTTGTTTACGGAAACACCAAATCCTAAACCCTAACCCCCCCCATAAACCCTAATCCTACGCAAGAGTCCTGCGCCGATAGGAGGATCTCCATCTCCTTTTTAACGTCAGCAGCCTTAACGAAGTCCTTCACAGGGTTTGTTTAGCGTTTAAGGTTCAGGGTTTAAGGTTTAGGGTTAGGGTGTATGCGCTCTGGGTCTTCAGGTGCTGCGAAGTTTAAAGCTTTGGGCTTGCCCTATTATACTTGTTATCCAACTGTTAGTGAGGGGGGGGGCAGTACCCAAGGTCTAGGGTTCAGGGTTTAGGGGGGCACTGCTCCTTGTAAAACATCCTTGTAGGAGACCTTCATTTAGGGTTTAGGGCCCTAAACTCCTTAAAACCGGCGAAGCTCTCAATGATTTGCTACAACAATAATGTTGTGGAATTGTTATAGAGTGGGGTAACCATTTCAGTTCTTCAAAAAGAGCAGGGTATGCCACCAACTTCAGAGACTACGCACAGAATTTTGGGGGCTTATAGACAACAAGAATACGCTTCATGGGGCTAGCTCTAAACCGAAACCCCCAAAACGGACCTCTGCGTCCAGGGCGACCCGCTTCTGCGTCTCAAGGCGCTGGAGCTTCAGCTTCAGCTGTGTATCCAAATTCCTCAACTAGGGTTAATTGCTTTAGGCCTTTGGGGCTTTAGGAGGTTTAGGATTAAGGTTTGGGGGTGTAACGTTGGCGATCTACGGCTTCACTAGCGTGAAAAAAGTTTTAGCGTATTCAAATTCCTCAAAGAAACGCTAGTGTGATCAGGGGTCTGGGGTCTAGGGTTGCTGGTTTACCTGATCGTGTAGGGTTTTGGGTAAACAACAAGGGACCTCAGCGCGCAACTTGGTTGCAAGTGCTGCCCTTCCTTGAGTAACCAGCGTTTGAAAAAACGCGAGGGCTTACACTCTTCAACAACCAACATGGAAGCTCAATCTACAGCCATCTTCAAAGGAACCCTCTAAATCCCTTAGCCCCAAACCATAAACCGGATTCCCAAGCTGTTGGGGGCAATGGAATTTCTGGGGATTGACCCTAAACCCTGAACCCTCAACCCGAAACCCTGAACCCCAAAACCCTAAACCCCAAACCCTGAAACCTTAATCCTAAACCCTAAACCCCTAAGCCCCTAAACTCCTACGCCCCTAAACACATTAAGCCCTGAACCTGAAACTGTGTCGG